AAGTCCTTGGTCTAAATTAAACCTAATGGATGGATTCCAAAGGTGTTTTTTAGTGGCTTTAATCATGCCCCAAGGTTTGAGATCATGCTTTATTCAAAAGTCAAAGGCATGGTTGACTTTTTCTTAGGAACCCTAGTTTGTGGTCCAGATGAATTTGAATCCTTGTATTGCTTATGAATCAAGTTATTTAAATAAATCAAATCTTGTGAATGTTAAATATGATGTATTTGAGGTCCTTAAATCATATCTTGAGGTATTGGATCATGCCTTACTCCAAAAGTCAACTTAGGGACTGAATTAGGTTAAAAACCATAATTTCTGATTTTTTGATAGATGCATCCCCTAAGGCTAATTTAAACTTATGAATGGAATCATGAGGTTCTTTTGATATTCTTGAAACATATATTGAAGTATTGGCTCATGCCCAGATGAAAATTTCTCTTTGGAAGCCTTGGTCGACCAAAACGTTAATTTGGTGACATTGATGGTCCTAAGGCTTGATCAACTTGAAATGATGCAATCTTGTGTTAGATCCTTGATGCAGGAAACCTATTGATTCTTCATGGATGTTTGATAGGTTTGACAAGTTGAAGATCATATTAGTTATTGATTGATCATTTTCCTGAATGCTTTGAGAGGGCTCAAAACCCTAATCCTTGGTTAAGGTGAATACTCAACAATATTTGAGAAGATTGGTGAGGTATGAAAATACATCCATATTGTGGTGATGATTTGCACAATGATTTGAATTCTTATGGTCAAAATTTAGGGTATGACAGATGCCCCTATTTAATTTTCTTGGACCTGAAGGTATGAATAACGAAGACATTCGGACATTCAAGGTAAAAGATGATTAAATATCAGAATACCCTAAATTTTGATTGTGGGTGTGAATGGTAGCAAATTCCCAATTTTGCTTATCCATCTTCTTTTACTAAATAATATTACTTAGAAAAGGGTAAAACTTTCCCTCGATCCTGGTCTTCATCCATGGAACTGGTCTTAGTTTCTTGAAATAAACCTTCCATTGATCCTGGTCTTCAGCCATGGAACTGGTCTCAGTTTGAAATAAACCTCCCCTCGATCCTAGTCTTCAGCCACAAAACCGGTCTCAGTTTGAAATAAACCTCCCCTCAATCCTAGTCTTCAGCCACAAAACTGGTCTCAGTTTGAAATAAACCTCCCCTCGATCCTGGTCTTTGTCCATGGAACTGGTCTCAATTTCTTCTTGTGAAGTTCTGCTTTTGACAAGGAAAGTTATATGTGAGGGTCTTCACCAAACTTTTCTCTGAAGTTGATCGGGGAGATAACCATTTGATGGAAAAATGCTTTTCATCATATTTCTCTTTGATGCTTCTACAGAGAGATTCCATAGGATGAGTAAAGTTTTGATGTCAGACTTGTTGGGTGTAACATTTGTCTGAACTACAGAGAGGTGCAAACTTCTATGTTGGAGATGTCGTTTGCTTGGAGAGATTACATCATACTTCCCTTCGATACTTCCTCAGAGTGATGCCAGGTGACGTAATTTAATTTGAGGTGTTGATTACTTCCTTGAAAGTAGGACAAACTTCTCAAGAAGAGATTGTTGTTTGTCGACCTACTAGGCATTTACGGGGAAAAATAGGCTTCTTAAGAGATGGCTCTTTGCTTTCCGATTGGTAGAGGTTTCTTGGTGGATGTGATGTCCATATTGCCAAGAGTATGTCATTGAGAGGCTTCCATCTGGGATTTTCCTTAATCCGGGAAAGCGAAATATCATCTTCAATGGCAAAGAGTGATGTTCCAAAGGTGCATAACCAAATCTCTTCTTGCCTTTTAGAGGTTCAAGTTATCAAAGTGATCAAGGACCAATTTCAATCCAGGAATGAACTGGAGTGATATTGTCTAAACAAGACATTTTCTGATGAGGAAAGAACTCAAACTAGGATTTTATCCTATCCAAGTGTGGAAAGGAAACTGAAGAAAAATCTTCCACGAGGATCAAACTCAGTGGGGATTTAGAAAAAGGCACATCATTTCTGCCTAAGGCTGACAACCCTAATAGAGAGAGGACAATTAGCACTTAGGGGGTAAATTACGCAACTTATGCATTTATGAATATTAATATGAATCAAATATGCATGATGTATGTATGAATGAATGCTTATGCTGACAAAGGGGGGAGAATGTGAAGATTAGTTCTTCTTGTCCTTGGTTATAGTTTTGATGAAGAAAAATACATCAACAAAAAAGAAGTCAAATCTTGACGACTAGAGCAATCTAGTTCAAATTAACAAAAAGTTTTGGAAAATTTATGGAAGATTCAAGATGGTTGAATATACATTACAATTCATGTGTGTGTGTGTGTGTGTGTGTGTGTGTGTGTGTGTGTGTGTGTGTGTGTGTGTGTGTGTGTGTGTGTGTGTGTGTGTGTGTGTGTGTGTGTGTGTGTGTGTGTATATATATATATATATATATATATATATATATATATATATATATATATATATATATATATATATATATATATATATATATCTTAATTGCTCATAAAAATCATGCATATTCATCTTAAACCATTCATGCATCTTTTAAAATGATTTTAAAATTAATCATTCTAACTTTAGTAAGTTGTGGCATTTCAAACCGCCATAACAATACTTTAAAACCGACACAATTAGCACCATTTTCTCAAAATATAAAAATACCTTAATTTTTGAAAATGCTTCAGGTATAACCAATAACACTATTTCTGGTAACTGGTTACCACTGAACTAGTGGTACTTTTTCATGAAAATTCTAATGCAAACTAATTTTTGAAAAGTGTTAAGGCACTATATAAACCATAAAATTTAGAATTTGAAACTCATCTCACTTTCATAGCAATTCAAACTTATTACTCTCTTATTTTCAAAACAAGTGTCTTGCGACTTAACTTTTTGTTTGAAACTTACTACATACATTTTTATTCATCTCTGAAAGTTTTACCACTTTAATCATTGAGCACTTGTGTTACATATTATGAATTGCTTACTTAATAGAGAATATCAATTCTAGGAATTGATATACTTTGTTATACAACTTCAAACACTTGTAAAAATTCAGATTGTTGTGATTTTCTTGTTGTCCAGGATTGTTAGAAGCAGGTGAGTGAATAAGGGAGAATTTTTAATTTTTACACTTTGTAAAGATCATAAGGGAATTTTCCTTATTAATTGTGTTGCTTATGTTAGAAGATTGTAGGATAGGTCATGGTGGAAGACTTGTACAAAGATCTGACATAGTGGAGAATCTCTCACAGGTAGTGAGGGGGCTGAAGCACTCTCGAATTGAGAGGGGAATCAGGATATATAGTTGTGTCCTTTACTTTTTGCATTTATATTTTAGCATATTTACTTTCATTTCAATACTGAAAAATAATAAAACAAGTGCTAACACTTCAGATTGAGAAAAGTCTAATAAATTTAATTCACCCATTCTTAGAGACCGTGCATAAAATTATATTGGCATCAAAGGAGTTTATAGGTAACTTATTCCTAAAAGGTTCAGAATGGCTTCCACAAATCCGGTTTTTAGAGACGGTGGTAGCAATAACAAACCTCCATTGTTTTGTGGTGAATAATTTGATTTTTGGAAAATTCGAATGAAGGAACTGATGTCCTCACATCATTCAAGTGATGAAAAGCATGAGGTTAATGATTCTAAAACTGGTGATATTCCATCTTATGATGAATTACAAAGTGCTTTTCATGAATTACATGATGAACTTTTGAAACTTTCTAGAAAATATTCAAGTCAAAAGAAAACTACTTTAAATCTAGAAAGAAAGTCTAATAACATACAAGTGGAGTTAGACTTAATCAAAATTTTATATTGCAATAATTGTTCTTTTCTCGAGTCTAAAATTGTTGGATTAAAACAAGTAATTATGAAATATGAAAATGAATTCAGCAATGTAGAATAAAAGAAAGAACATGTTATAAATCATGATACAAGGTTTTATAATAAGAATTATATGTTTAGACCTACTTGTTTCTATTGTAAAGCAAAAGGACATACTACTAATGCTTGCTACATAAGAAATTATAGTATTCCTTGTAGTAAGTATGTATGGGTGAGGAAGGTGTCTAACCCAAAAGGATCCAAAGGAAGTTGGCTACCTAGATGTAACTAATTGTTTTGTAGGTAAAGTATGACAAGTAACATGAGTGCATTTAGATATCTGATCCATGTTGAAAACAATTCCATTCAACCTTTTAAGAGTGTGGGAACTACTTAGTCTTCCATTGGACCATATAAAAAAAGATCCAATAGTTGAAAGATGTAGTAGCTCATTAGAGTTAATCTAGTTCTGGAAATCTTGCATAGGCAACCTTGCAAGAGGGAAAGATCCTTTGTGCTCATGAGCACCAATAACCACATTGAAATCTCCAATGCTACACTAAGGAACTTTATGCTCTTTAAGAATGTTGGAGAGGTTATCCCACAAGGATCTTCTTTTAATATAGCTAGTTGAAGCATAAATGGAAATCAACCCAAAGATACGCTTATCAAGATTACAAGTAAAAGCTACAAACTACTCACCAATATCTATGATAATTTGAGTAAGGGGAAATTTGCAAAAGCACCAAATATTAGGGATATCATTATTTCTATTGTTAAAGGAAAACAACTTCAACCCAATCCTTAGGAGCCAAACTTGAGGGAACTTATCATAACTCATCCAAGGTTCATAGATGAAAAGGAAGTCAGGGTTGTTATTTTGAATAAGACCTTTAAGAGCCAATTTGGTGGGGAGATTAGCAATACTTCTTGAATTCTAACATATACAAATCATTGCAAAGGATTGGATTGACCAACCTTGGACCTGGTTATATAGATATTTCTGGATTTCAATTTGTTCTTCTTGTTTTTTGCCCTTACTAGGGTGAAACATGAGTTGTTTGAAGGTGGGGGTCATCATCATCCATCAACCCCTCTTCAGAAAAGTATGCGTCAGCAAGGTTGGCCTAATAATCCTAGAGGAATTTTTTGTTGCCCATTGTTGAGGGAATTGGGGAATTTTCTATTGTGTCAACTTCCTCATCAATCAATCGTGTAACATCTACAAATTCATTTCCAATGGAACTATCATCTGATTCTTCAAGCACATCTGCTACCTCAATGTTATAGTCATCAGGCTCTACATCGACCTCAAGGAGGGCCTCGATTTTGTTCTGCAAAGTATGAAACTTCTGCACCCCACTAGTTTCAGGTTGAGAACTAGTAACCTTTCCCTTGTTGCCTACATCCTCTATGTCGTCATTCTCTCTGATTTTTTCTTTCTCTTTTTCTATGTTCTTATTAGCACCCCTAACTTTAACAAACACCTTCTTAGTGTTTTCTTTGGGACCTTTCTCCACTAGCTTTGCATTAAGCCTCTTGCAAGCCTCCAACTCCAAGGAGTGACCAATCATGTTGCAATGAGGGCAGTATTTTGGAATATTTTCATACTCAATATTGAAAAAGAAGGTGTATCGTTGTCTTTCCACCAAGACGTTGTGAGTAAGTTGTGCAGAGAGATCCATGTCCACCAAAACTCGTAAAAAAAATGGCCAAATGCACGATCAGACATAGGTTTAGCAGCCATATCATCAGTGCAGATTAGGAGATCCAATATTCCTGAGTCAGACCAAACAACCTTATTCATACTTGGGCAGTTGATACATTTTACAAGTAAGGGTTGAAGTCATTTGTCCATTGGAAGAATTTAAGTGTTTCTGATTCAAGATTCCACGACACGGTTGACTTAACTCGTTTAACATCCTCAAGCTAAGAGAATGATAACTCATAAAATCCCTTACCTAACGATGTGATTCCCCAACGCCCAAGGTTTTCTCATAACGGTGAAAGCTTCTTCCTCAAGGCAACAACGGCCAACAACGTTGACCCTTTTGGCCAAATAACACGGTCGTGGAGGTTATGCTTGCAAACTTCGACACCTACCATGTATTCATTTTTTGGAATAATGATAACAACTTTATCCCCTTTGAAACACGGTTGAGGTAGTTGAGATACTAGAATGTGACATACATTGTCATCGGAGATGATACCTTGGGGACATGGCAGCATAACTCATACATGCGGGTACTCACTCAAACTCACCCCAAACTTGACAGGGAAAACCCACTTTGACTGGATTTAGGTTCGAGTTAGGATTTTTCTCGATTATAAAATACGGGACTGATCGGGTGATGGGAACACTAGTACCCATGCCGAACTTGTCCCAGAACCCACCCCACTTATTTTATTATGTATTTTATTATTTTAGTTTTGATAACTTATCATTATTAAATATGTGGTTAATGATTTGATACTCTGATTTGTATTTATTATTTAAAATATTTGAAATGTATGCATGAAATTTAAAAAAAAATTATTATTATTATTTGTAATGTTATTTGATTTTGAAAAAATAAATTTTTAATTAAAAATTATAATTTCACTAAATAAATGGTGGCGGGACGGAGATACTCGAACCCGTTTGGGACGAGTTTGGATTTTAATTCTCCATCCTCGATAAAGATTGAGGCAAGAAAAAAAAAATTTTCTTTTTAGATTCGAAGTTGAGTTTAGGGGAGGTAAAAATCATCACCGACTTGCCTTGTTGTCATGCCTAAGTTGGGCGAAAGTTTTTCAAGAATAACCGATACCTTCTTAGTTGGTTGGAGACACGATCATGGTATCTCTTATCTCAAACGTTGACATTGGTGGTCCACCACCCAAGGTTATCGTTAATATTGTTTTAAAAATCAGACCGCTCATCAAATAGGTGAGGAGATTAGATCACTGTGGTTCATTGGTCGAACCATTGGAACATCGGTCGAACTGCATAACTAAATCAAATTAAATCGAATAACTCGGTTAAATAAATAGATCTCTATAACAAAATTATATAGTTATTAAATTGATCGAATCAAATAATTCAGTCTTTAAAACAAATCACATCACCTACAAAATTTCAAATTTTTAAAATGTTATAATTTTACAAATATCATACTCTTTTAAATCGGTCTTTAAAACAAATCACATCACCTAAAAAATTTTCAATTTAATATCATAAATAGTATGATTTAATAGTATACTCTTTTTCTTGTATAAATAGTAGATTTATGTTAAATATGTTCCTAGCTTTTATGAAGATTTTGCTATAAAATTTATTCTCTACAAAAATATAAATTGTTTTGGTCTCGCAAATCCCTAAATTTGAGCTAAAATTAGATGGAAACATGTTGAAAAACAAGTTTGATAGATGATATTATATTCTAGATACTATATAGTATGTCTAAGTGTCAAATGATGCGATTCGAATAACTATTAACCGTATAATTACGTAAACTTCATCTATTGAAGTATGGATCAATACCTAATTATCAACATATTCTTCTGGGGTTAAGAATCGAATCAAACACAGCTTTGATCCAAAATATAATTTTGACACGTATACTTATGAGTTCCACAAATTTATGAGTTCCACACACTTTTACGAGATCCATATGAATTTCAACCAATAAAAGACAGTGAATTGGGAATGTGGTGTTAAAGAGATGAAAAGGAATATAGCCTATTTATGCTAGATTTTTTAATTTTCTTGGTAAGGGGTAAAACAGCCTAAAGAAAGTAATCATCAAATTCGGAGACAAAACAACCAAGGAACTATCAAACATAAGACAGCACAATCAAACATTCTACTACCGAAATCTAAATTGAAACATGCTTTGCTAGGTCATCTGCAACAGTTTTTTTTTTTTTGCACAAGTGATTCCAGGTTTTAGAATTGGACAACGATGATTAAGGTCATACACATAAAAAAGGTATTTGACCTAAAACTCAGATGATAAATTCACACCTAAATATGGCAAAATATAGATTTTTCGTCATCATCATTCATATAAAGTAATGTCAAAATCACAAGGTCAGTTGCAACCAAAAACAAAATCCATCAAGAGAATTCAAAGCAAATGATAAAAAGCAGCCAGAAATCAATTAATGTAAATCAATAACAAAAATACCAGATAATTGCTCAATCCACCCCCCTAAGTTTACCAGAAGTTTGGGTAATGCACTTTTGACAGCTTAGAAAATATAGCCAGACGGATTGAGAAATTATCAAAATATCAACCAAAAAAATCAACAAATAAAATTTTCCTAATATCAGAAAATCACCCTAATGCATCATATAACTGATGTATTCTTCTTTGAAATCCATCTCTTTTTGGCATTTTCTATGGCTTCCTCCCTCATCTTTACAAGTTCACGAAAACATTGTTGATACTGGGTTTCAATTGCTTCAAGCTCCAACTGTAGCTCGTTTAAATGATCACTGTCAAGAGAACATTTGCTTGACATGTAACTTGAGACTGAGTTCTCTGATTGTTTATTGTTTCCATTTTCTTGACCATAAATCCTGACATCTGAATTGTTGGAATTTAAGCCATTGGATCCCTTACAACATTCATGAAGAATATAACAATCAGGCTCTGCACCTTCAGAATCAGTGGCAATTGCAACACCATACTCAGCTGAAATATCTGATGAAATAGATTCTTGTTTGTCCTGATCTTCCCCATCAAGGTGTAACTGACCTAAATCCTCCTCATACATTGCTTTTAAATCAAAAATATCTGATCCAAATGTCGAATGGCAATTTGACTGTCCACCATCCTGAGCTTCCAAAGGCCTGTACATATTATCTGTTCCAGATGAGAGGTTCCCACATACGGGTTTCCAGTCAGGCACAAGCTCAAAAATCATGTTGTGTATAAGCTCAGCGATGACAGCTACATCTTCATCCTTGAGTTCCAGATGTTCCACCATTTCCTCGGCAATTGAAATTGTGGTGTCGGAATCAATATAGAATGGAAAATGGATATTCCTAGCTCCACCTACAGAAACATCATAATAACATTTAGCATAGAGTAGATTTTTAAAAAAAACATGAACATACTCACCATGAGAATCGGCAATTCGCAGTGTAAGTAAAATTGTACGATCGGCATTCTTCTCCCCTTTTAACCTAAACTCATTGTTCTCTGTCTTCCTCAGGAGATCAAGAGTTGAAACTTGAGAAGTTTCTTTAATCTTCTCCACAGAGGAGCCAGGTGATGTATGCCCGAGGTTTGAATCTATCTCCATGGGATGGGGCTCACATGCTGGTGGATTCATTGATTTGATGGGGGGATTAAGCAGCGTCGGGGTATCATGAGAGATCTTTGTGTTTCCAGTTGCGAGAAATGGGTCTTTCAGCAATTCAGATGCAGGCAATCTCATTGACACTGGAACTAAACATTTCTCTATAAATTGCTTCACTTCAGGATCACTCACTTTAGCAAGAGCAGCAGGCTTTATACCCTGAATAAAAAAAACAAGAGCTCAAGCTAAGAACAACATAAATCAGACAAAGTATTTTTATGAATGAAGAAAACATAAATGTGGAAAACTAAATGAACTCCAATGCCTGCAAAACTTACAGAGGTAACTTTCTTATATATTTGTGCCGGATTTTTGCATTCGATATACGGGTACTCACAGGTGATCATTTCCAAGATACACATGCCAAAGGAATATATGTCAACAAGTTCATTGTATTCTTCCTCATAAAGCTCCGGAGCCATGAATTCTGGAGTACCTGTTCCCAGCAAGATCAAAACACAATTATTCAATTACAAGGTTTAATCAAATGGAAAGTTTCAGATTAGCTCAAATATAATACCAATAACACTCCGGGCAGTAGGCTGCTGCATGATAATTGCCAATCCGAGATCTCCAATCTTAACTTGCCCAGTGTTTCCGTTAACAAAAATGTTATCGCATTTAAGATCCCTGTGAATAACAGGAGGATTGTGACTGTGCAGGAAGCACAAGCCACGAAGAACCTGCCTCGCCCAGTTCTTGATAGCTTTCATATCCACATTCTTATGTTTTCTCCGATACCTACAATACAAATCAATAACAATATAAAATCGATAGACCACACAAAACAAAAGTAGAAATCACAATGCAAACTCAATTCAACAAATCTTACTGCCTCAAACTCCCAGAGGTGAACAATTCAGTAATCATGTTAATAGTCCTGGTCTTCTCATCCACCCAAGAGCTATACAACTTAATAATATTTTCATGTTTCAGTGACTTAAGAAGGTGAACCTCAGAATACAACTTTTCCAAATTTTCAGGTAATTGCATAACATCCTCTATAGTAATTCGGTTCCAAGCAACTTCTGTTCCATCTACTTCATCAAAAGCTTTATACCTAAAATAACATTACGAATCAACAAAATAACTAAATAAATAAACAAACAAAAACAAATAAAATCCAAAATTGATAAAGAGGAAACCATACACAGTCTTAAACGCTCCTTTCCCTAACTTTTCATCATACTGTAAACAAACCAAAATCAATCAATCAATCAATCATAAACAAAAACATTAACATTAACATGAATAATACACAAATTCAAAATCAATTAATCAGCAATAACATTAACATACCCGTGCGTAACGCAAAGTAGGATCCTTCTCCACAACA